ATACATACACAAGTAAGGAAGTAAATGGAAAGGCAGGATGAGGAAGAGACTAAGCCTGTAATCCCAGTGAGTGAGAGCAGGAGGAGCCTGGGCTACATAGAGAGACCCTATCAGAAAAAAGGGAAAGAGGAAAGAGGAGACAAAATGACGGAAGAGGGAGGGGAGGAGGGGAGGAGAGGGACGGAGGAAGAGAGGGGAGGAGGAGAGGAGAGGGACGGAGGAAGAGAGGGGAGGAGGAGAGGAGAGGGACGGAGGAAGAGAGGGGAGGAGGAGAGGAGAGGGACGGAGGAAGAGAGGGGAGGAGGAGAGGAGAGGGACGGAGGAAGAGAGGGGAGGAGGAGAGGAGAGGGACGGAGGAAGAGAGGGGAGGAGGAGAGGAGAGGGACGGAGGAAGAGAGGGGAGGAGGAGAGGAGAGGGACGGAGGAAGAGAGGGGAGGAGGAGAGGAGAGGGACGGAGGAAGAGAGGGGAGGAGGAGAGGAGAGGGACGGAGGAAGAGAGGGGAGGAGGAGAGGAGAGGGACGGAGGAAGAGAGGGGAGGAGGAGAGGAGAGGGACGGAGGAAGAGAGGGGAGGAGGAGAGGAGAGGGACGGAGGAAGAGAGGGGAGGAGGAGAGGAGAGGGACGGAGGAAGAGAGGGGAGGAGGAGAGGAGAGGGACGGAGGAAGAGAGGGGAGGAGGAGAGGAGAGGGACGGAGGAAGAGAGGGGAGGAGGAGAGGAGAGGGACGGAGGAAGAGAGGGGAGGAGGAGAGGAGAGGGACGGAGGAAGAGAGGGGAGGAGGAGAGGAGAGGGACGGAGGAAGAGAGGGGAGGAGGAGAGGAGAGGGACGGAGGAAGGGAGGGAGGGAGGGAGGGAGGGAGGGGAGGAGGCTTTATGATTAACAAACACTCTTGCCTGGAGAAGACTAAACGCAGAGCCCGCACACCAGCCCTGCCCCTCCATCCGTCAGGGGAGGAGGTCCCGCAGCACTGTGGACAGGAGAGCCTGCGGGTCCCCTCCGCGCTCCCGGTATCCCCTCGGCCGGCCATTTGGACCTTGAGACAGTCCCGCTGGCCGGGCCCTTCCCCTCCGCGCAGCCTGTCCGGGACTACCTCTGCCGGCCTCCGCGTGTCACCAGGGCTTCCCGTCACCTTTCCCGGCTCCTTCCCGCCCACTGCAGCCCTCCGTCCCGGACCCAGGTCCTCGCCCCCGACGCGCACCTGTCGGGCGGGTCCCGCTCCCAGCCGGGAGGACCCTCCGCACGACCCCGAGCGCTCCTCCTGGGCGCAGCGTCCATCACGCGGCCGCGCACCGGGGACAGCAGGGACGTGGAGCCCGGCAGGGGTGGAGCCTCAGGGTCCCGGCGTCCGCATTGGCCGCGCCCGCGCCCCCTCCCTCCCGCCGGAGGTTGATTGGCCGCGGGGGGTCAGGTGGCTGCGGAGCGGACCGACGCGGAGTGCTGGATGAGGCCTAACGGGATCCTCCGGCGCGCGGCCGGGTCAGCTCAGACGCTCGCGCCGGGCACCGGTCTCCACGCTCGGCTGTCAGTGACTCACTCGCCACCGGAGCTGGAGGTAGAAAGTGCCGGGCGCACCGGGCAGCGGGAGTGCCCAGATGCGGAGACTGAGCGAGGCGGGTGGGCGGGGCGGTGCTCCTAGCATTGTGGAAATGAAAGCTTTTGCCATGTAATGGTAAATAAGAACTTTGGAGCAGGAGAACTTTGAGAGGTGGGACAGGTATGGGGGAGGTGAGCAGGAGTCTCCTCCCTTCCCCCTGTGGGTGCCCAGGATGGAGGTCACATTTCAAAGGTTTCACATTTCTGTAACCTTTGCGGCCATGTTCCCTTAATTACCACGTGTCCCTTTTTACTTGTCGCCTATGTGCTGTTTTGCCTTTTGCTTGTATATGAATATCAAAGACCCCCAAACTGGAAGGATCCGTGGAGCAGTCTGCTAGGGTAAAATTAAACTCTCCTCACCTGACTTCGGTTATTGGTCTCTGATTTTTACGTAACACTAGAGTCTCCTGCCCCTCTAGACCGGATTCCTCAGGTCCGCGGACGGCCCGGGCTCCAGTGGTTTGACTAGCCGAGGACTGGCTGGCTGCTGGCTGCCGCAGAGGCTGCTCCTAAGCAGGCACCCGTAGAAAGCGGTGCCTGCGAGGCCTGGGAGCCCAGCCCACCTTTGGAAGACGAGGACCGAGGGCACCCTCCGGACGGGGACCAGAGCGGGCGCACTGGAGCTACGCAGTCCAGGGGAGGGGGAGGGGGAGGAGTGGGAGGAGCAGCGGGAGCCGGAGCTGGAGGACCAGGAGCTGAAGACAGACCCTAGGACCGGTGAGCGGGGTTCTTCAGTGCTCCTCAGAGCAGCTACGCAGCGGCGAGGTTTGTGTATCCAGGTGGGAACAGCAAGCTGGATCCTCAGAGCGCTGCCGCACGAGGTCTTCTGAGACAGGAACAAGTGTTTGGCTGTAGTCAGCAGAGGCTTTTTCTGTCACTAACCATCCACCGTGCACAGATGTCTCCACAACCCTGCGTTACTGGCTCAAGATGTCAATGCTGCCGAGCTGCTGAAGCCCTCAGTTCACAGGGCTCCTCTCTTCTCCCTGAGGACTCTTCAGAATTTCCTGTAGTGCTAAAAAGCAAGAGTGGGGTGGAGGGGGGTGTCGTCCCTCCAGCTTGTGAGAGCCTATGAAGTCTTTGCAGCGCCTCATCTGGAGTTTTTCCTTTCAGTACTTCAAAGATCTCAACCCTTTTCTTGCAGTGTTCTGCAGTGAGACCCACTCCTCAAACACCTGCATTCCTCTATACACTCAGCCTGTTTTTGTTGTTTGGGGTGGTTAATACTGTCAACTGACAGGATCTAGAATCATCTAGGAGATAAGGTTCTGGGCACCTATAAGGGATTATCTAAATTAGGTTACCCGCCCTCAATGTGGGCAGCACCAGTCCACGGGCTGTGGTTCTGGACTGAAGTACTAAGAATGTCAAAATCAGATTTGTAGGGCTCGTGTGGGATCCCTGGAACATCTGGGGACTGCTGCGATCTTCTTCTGATACATGAAATACAACTTCATTCTGATTCTAAATGAAAGGAATGGAGGGGCTGGAAAGACAGCTCTGTGGTTAAGAGCACTTGTTGCTCTCCAAGCGGACATGGGTTTAATTCCCAGCACCTACATGTTGGCTCACAGTTGATTATAACTACAGTTCCAGAGGACCTGTTGCCCTCTTCTTGCTTCCACAGGCATCAGGCATGTACATAGTACACATATATACATGCAGGTAAGCACTCATACATAGTAGTTAAAAATTTGGGAAATAGTAACAACATGATCTCACCACTGAACATTGGGATGTGAATGTAGTGTCTGATCTTTGAAACTCAGGAGAGGAACAGCTGCTCCAAACAGCTAACGATGGAAGTCCAAAAGTGGTTTTAACTGCCACACTCACTATGAAGCTTCATCCTCTTCAGCACCCCAGAGATGAAGCACACGTCTGCTTAGCTAGAGAAGGTGGCACACTCGCCGAGCTGTTAAAGTCATAGGACAGCTGCCTGTAAAGTGGACTTCTTAAGCCCTCAGCTTCACTGAGGTTGTCTTCTTCATCCCAGAGGGCAGTCATCTGAGCAGCTCTAAATCATGCTGTTAGAGGCTCGTACGGACCTGCCTACGCTGGGCCCATGACCACCTTTGGGTGGGTGAGGCCAGAGCAAGCATGGTGACAAACTCCAAGTTAGGGCCTCAGTGAGCTCCCTGGCCAGCCAGAGGAAAGGCTTTTCAAAGTTGTGGGTGCTTTTGGCAGACATGTCAGAGAACTGACGACTCCTCTTGGAATCAATGGACTTCGCCTTTACTTCCTGTCCGTAATGTTCATTTTTCTATCACATAACACAACAGGGGTATTTTTACACACATATACCAGATCTCTGTGGCAGTTAGGCACATTCTTATACCACTGGGCTTAGATACAGTAGCCATCACAGAGGACCATGAACATCTCTTGACCAGAGGTGTCCCTTACATTGAATGTGATGGGCCCTTTGCTGCTGTGGGACACCAGCAGGCACACTTGCACGTTCAGGGCTGCTACATACGTCTTCCCTCATCAAGAGGCACCAAGACAAGCTTGAACCAGATCTGTGGGTTGCTTTGTGTGGTCATCTCAATCCTGTGGGTGATCAGCTGTCTCACATGGGACCCACAAGACCACAGGGAAGAGGGGATGGTTGAGGGTATGGGGGATGTGGTCCATCCTCCCCCACTGCTCCCAGAAGGGTCTCCTCACCCATCCATCTTCCAAGTCATGGGTACAGGATGGTGTGCTGGTTAGTTTTTGTCAACTTGACACAAACTTAGACATTCTTTGGAAGAGGGAATGTCAATTAAGGAATTTCCTCCATTAGACTGGAGGTCATATAAGTGAGGCATTGTCTTGATTGCTAACTGACGTAGGAAGGTCCACCCACTGTATGCTGTTCCTTCCCTAGGCCGGTGGGCCTTGGCTGTATATTCTGGAGTAAGCCAGTAACAGCTTTCCTCTGTGGGCTCTGCTTCAGTTATCGCTCC